GGCGAATTGCTGGCGGTGTTCAACATGTAGTGAGACTGCAAAATCACACCGTAAGCTTTTTCCGGTACATTTAGCCTCATAGCTGCACCACGGCGTAATGACCAATGTAACCCCCAAAACCGTATATACAGTCGTCATCCGTGCAGTTGATTAGGCGGTTGTCGAAGGGTCGCAGACGCGGCTGCAGCAGCGTACGTAGGAACTGTTGGCGGCGATCAGCTGTTTCCGGCCTGGTTTAGTCATTTTCTCCCTACTTTTCACTGTTTTTGGCTGCTTTTCTTGAGGTTAGTTGTTCCTTGTCTTCACAAGGTAAATTATGATTGAGATTTCTCTAATTTTTGCGAACAATTAAACAATTAAACAAACAATCAAAAAATACCTAAAAAATCGCAAAAACACTTCATTACAGAAACAAAAAAGAATCCACTCCCTGATATATTTAGTGAAAGAAAAAAACTTACCTCAAAAAAAGTAGATACAGCGAAAATTAGGGAGAAAATGGCTAAACCAGGCTGGAAACAGCTGATCGCCGCCAACAGTTCCTACGTACGCGGTCGCTGCTGCAGCCGCGTCTGCGACCCTTCGACGACCGCCTAATCAACTGCCCGGATGACGACTGTACAGCGTTTTCACGAATGTCGTTACGGATACGGGGGGGGGACGAGAGAAGGGCGAAACCTATCACGTATGAGGGAAGAGAATTGGTACGGGACTTTGCAGCCAACATCAGACTTTGCAACTACGTATTCGAACCCCCCCTTTAATATGAATTCAATTTGTGGAAGTGAACGCACGCTTGCAAGAGCCCACTTCTCTCTGAGATCGAAACGAAAGCTGTAAATTGCAGTTTCCACATGGGACCTGACCCGCAGCCTCTTGCGCGCGGTATATTGGCGATATCTTTTCTGCGTGGCCATGTTGAGAGGGAAGAACAGCTCTCACCAAGATATCAAAAGGTGCAAAAAAGCATGCTGTAAACTAGGAAACGGGGTTCTTGAAGAAAGGAAACTACGGGGTGGATGAGCCATCATATCGTGCGTGAAATTCGGAATGTGTGAAGTCACAAGTGGTCGTAGATTACCGTATTACCTTGGGAGAGCAGAGAATAGCAGTAAAATGGCCCGTTTGAAGAGACTGGTTCCAATGTGTCTGCAAAATAACCCACACCCTTGCCATCCGCGCTCTTTGACTAATATCGTTACATCGCGGCGGCGCTCACGTCGAGGACTTCAACAATGGGCGCGTCCGCACGCCAACACTATTTGCGCTAAAGTGCAAGCGCCCCCGCTCACGAGACACCGCACAAAAGCATGTATCCCTGCCACGCCCAATCGCATTCCCGTCTCGCAGCAAGACGTGGGGCCGTGATCGATGGCCGCTCGGCGCTGTATTTTGAGAGAGTTTGGGGAATGCAACAACGTTCAAAAGCTTCAGCCGCGGACGCAGCTGCAGACGAAACAGTGTTGCCTAGTCAAGCAGACTGGTACTGCGTTGACGTCTATAGCTTGGGAATGCTGTTACAATCGCAGCGCGTCGATGCGCTTTACATCGCATTGCAGCGCATCGACGCGCGTCATCGGAATTCCGAACGCTACCTACCCTGCACGAAACCGCACAATGTCGCGTACGCTTCTACAATACTCGTTCCAAAGTAAGCTGTTTTCAGATCCTGAACACGCGAGTGGCCCATTATGTGCTAACGAGGTTCTGCGATCACAGTGTAGACACATAGCTACCACATATATGACAAGTTCGATTGATTATATATTTCTTGTACTTACTTGTTGTTGTATTTATAAAGAAGCGTTGGAAAGAACCGCGACTTGATGTTCCAGCTTTGGCACCATTCCAGTGACAGTCCAACACGTTACGTGTTAATGTCCGGCCCACAGAAGCTACTGTAGCTCGTCTTTAAGTTCGGTGGCGCTATGAGCAGCACTTGTTTCTCCTTTTCGACCTCCTCTTCCCACAGTTGTCTGGTAAAAACCTTGAGGGACAGGCACCAGCTCGTTCTCCTGGCTCCGTGGAAAAACTCACCCATACGCGTATGCGGCGCGGTTTTTTGACGTCACCGCGGCGGCAGGGCGGAGCGAAAGGCGATGGCTGCGCCTCCGCCACTGTGCTCCAATCAGCAGCTGCTTTCATGTGGAGGGAAAAGGAGGGAAAAAATATATAGAAATGAGGACCGAACAAATATTGAATGCTTATAGGTGAATTAGTGGTAGTGGTGAGAGCAGAGAAAAAATTCAAACAGCGGAAAATTCGACTGTCAAGGCGTATTACTGAAGTACATGGCGAAACTGGCGGAATAGTCCCCTCTTGAAAACGACGGAAACAGTTCCTAGGCAAATGTTATATAGTGAGAACGATGAAGGTTTGTAAAATTTCCAACGGTTGGTTGTGACCTTATAACGCTTAACATTTGCGTAAGAGCTGTTTGCATGTTTTCGCAATCGAAAGGGACTATTTCGCCAGTTTCATTGACTGAAGTAATTCGCCCTGATAGTCGACTTTTCTGTATTCTCTGCTCACCACTACCACTAACTCACCTACAAGCATCCGCTATTTGTTCAATCTCTTTTCTCTCTCTCTTATTTTCCTTCCACATAAAAGCGGCTGCAGATTGGAGCACAGTGGCGGAGGCGCAGGCCATCGCTGTTCGCTCCGCCCTGCCGCCGCGGTGACGTCAAAATTTGCGCCTCATACGCGCATGGGTGAGTTTCTCCCTCTTCCAGGGCTAATGCCGTTTGGACGCGCTGACTTCTGGCTGCGAGCTCATTTTTAAAGACAGCCCCCGCGCTCAAGTAGTACATGGCCGTCCTTCTTGTACAAGTAGTCCAGCCACCAAGCTAGAGACTGTCCCACTTCGCGACTCCACAGTGAGCGAGGAGCGAGCTACAGCCGCTGAAAGTTCTAGTTCTAACGCCCGCCCAGTTGGACCGCCCACTTGCTAGATGCCCTCTGACGGAGGGCCGCTCAGTTGTTCTTTGTTGGGGCGGCGGGCATTAATCGGAAGTGCATGTCTTTTTTGCTGACCGCGCTCGTGCCCATAAATAATTCTGCTCTCCTTTATTACATTTTATTCATTAGGAGCACATACAGTCAACTGCAACCCATCTCGCAAGGTAAAACGCGTAAAAATCACGAGTGTGCAATTTTCGTGGTGCAAAAGCTCGACATGCACTAAAAGATGCACGCCACCGTAACCCAAATTCGGACACCGAGTTTTTGAAATTTCTTTAGGGTTTTTCGTCCGTGTTTTTGCTGTTTATTATTTTCTTTGCATATCCACTACTGGGAGATGCGACAAAGCGATCTGTGAGCCAGGGGTTGCACAGAGACCGCAGGAAGGTGTGACTGTCAGGAACAATTTTTTCATGGTGTTCTTGAGGTCTTCTTGCTTTTTTTTCTTCTTTGGGGAATTACTTATCAGCTACTGTTTCATAATTGAACAGCAACTATCCATGACACTTTTATCGCGGGAGCTGTCTTTAAAGTGCCTAAATCACCAAATCCGCTGAAAACTTGTCTTTAGAAGTAATGTAACATCTTGATTACGACTACGACAATCATTCGTGGCTCCGATAGAGAACACTAAGATTATCTGCCCTCTGCTAAAGCTGAACTCAGAAGATAATCCTAATGTCCGCCATTAGCACCAGCGCCAAGAATGAATGTCATATTTGTTAACAGGATGTTAGATTACCTCTATATTTGTTTATTTATTGTACAAGTTTTCAGCGGATTTGGTGATCTAGGGCACTTTAAAAATTACTCGCAGCCAAAAGTCAGCGCGTATAAACGGCATTAGCTCTCCTCCGGTTCTCCTGATTACCAGGTTTCTGGAAATAGCCTGTCACAAAGAAGAAGACGTCTCGAGAAACCCGGTCAAGATTTGATTCCATAGATCGTTGGACCACTATTTACAGTCGTCATCCTTGCACTTGATAGGGGCGTGTCGGCGAGAAGGAGCGTGCACACTGTTTGAAGCCTTCTCAGCCTTTTCGTTGAAACGCGTATGCGACAAAAAGTGATAGAAAACGAGTAACACGAAGGATATAATACAGTAATGTCACTTCCTGGTTCAACGATTGGTGCAGTACGGGTGCGGGCGACCGCGCCGCACGCAGCCGCACTGACATTGACTATCAAGTGCAAGGATGACGACTGTATGTAATATCCGCACATGTTTGAATGAAAAAAAATGTCAATCTGACGATAAGCCATATAACCAGGCTATGACCCGGGGACATTCGATTCGATATCGGCTCATTTGAAAAAAAAACATGATCAGTTTTGAACTATTCATTGATTACATTACAATAATTCGCAACACATAGTCGTTTCGACCTTATTCCGCACAAAGCATGACATTGCGTAATGTCAGACACAGAGATTTACCTACTGCTATTTACTCACTTCTATAACTCACAATACTTTAATGGTAAGCTCACAGTCAAGCTTCAAAATCAGACTCCGACTGTACTCAACGACAGACTCCGCGCTTAACCAACTCGCAGGATTCCTTCCTTGCTCAAGTAGTTCGGTGCGTAATCGCAAAGACTTCCACTTTTGCGGCTCCTTAGTAATTAACGAGGGCGCTGCGACCGTCATATGTTGCAGCTATACACAGTAACGTACGACATACCGTATGTAGCTGCAATTTATGATGAGTGCAGCGCGTCACTGTGGAGCCGCAGAAGTGGGAGAGTCTTTGCGATTACGTACCGGACTACTCGAGCAAGTACGGAATTCTTCGAATGGTTGAGCGCGGAAGACAATCGAAACCATTTACTTGTGCTTAGTCTAGCTAGACCACAACAAGTAGAGTCTACAATAACCGCATAACTTAGAGATCGAAAAAAAGGAAAAAAAATGTTACTGGTACTTAAGAGCGTTCATTAGACAACTAAAATCAAACCGTTGCTACCAGTCTTGTTAATTCGACACATATTAAGGAGCAGAAGTTAAAGGAAATAGCTAGATACTTATAAATATATTCACATTTGATTATTATTATTATGTTTTGCCATGAGAAATTCGGTATTAACATTTAGAGAGCCATGAATTAGTGCCTGAGCCATGGTTACGCCAAGTTTGGCTGGTGAATTTACCACGAGCACACCTGCATCTTTAAGAGCTTCAATTTTGTCGCCTGCCAATCCTGAAACAGAAAAAAGTGGCTTAAGTCTTGAGTGTGTACCCGACGAACGACAAATCTAGCCTGATGACCTACTTACCTCTTCCTTTATCGATAATTGCTCCAGCATGGCCCATTTTCCTGCCAGGAGGAGCCGTGACACCAGCAATGAAACTGACCACAGGTTTGTTTCTACCAGCTTTAGCTTGTTCCTTAAGGAATTCGGCTGCTTGTTCTTCAGCTGATCCACCAATTTCTCCAATCATAATCACTCCTTAATTTAAAAACTCAATTTCCGTAACTTCCAGAGACCGGGTTTAGCCAAATGACTTCAGACCTCTTGTCTTCTCATGGGCCAGGAACAATTCCAAGCAATCAATGAAGTTCGTTCCGTTGAAAGGATCACCTCCAATTCCAATACACAACGTTTGACCAAGGCCTGCTAGTGTCGTCTGCTGTACAGCCTCGTAAGTAAGGGTGCCAGATCGCGACACAACACCTACAAAAGAAAGTAAATATTGCTCTCGCTCGTCGCGAATGATGGGGAGTACCAGCGCGACAGCGTTTGGCGCGGTTCCAATCAGTTTTTTCTTTTTCTTTCGGCAAGCGACAGGATTGTATCACATCGTTCACATCAGTCGTTTTACAACACTTTTTGTCACTTAACCTCTTCCGCAACTGGTGGAGAACGGTTTGGCAGCACGCCAAACATACCGCGCTGACACGTCCCATCAGCCGCAGCGAAAAATACTGCAAAACACTTGTTAAATACCAGAAAGAACAATTATAATTCCGTATTTTCTCGTTTCGGAACCCAGTAGAGGCCGTACTATAGGGCTAGAGCACAGAGTGGAGCACTCAGCATATGAGAAGATCACGATGGACGAGTTGAAAAATCAGGTGTCAAAGATGATCAACGTCTGCCAACGGCTCCCACTACTGTCTTCACTCGAACAGGATTACAGACACCCTCAATTACAGTATCCCACTTCCGCCAGCCTATAGAAACAACACCGGAAATGCAAGGCATATTGGAGCGAAGTCATGACTAGCATGTGCAGAAAACGCGCTTGTAAGCCCGCAATCAAAGGAAAAATGCGAGGGAGTCAGGGAATCCGCTTTTCTGAAGGTTCTGCTCTGAGTCGACAGGCTGAATGTAGCCGTCTGGATACGGAGTGATTTGACAATAGGAAGGTTCACAAAGTCGCTAGGTAGTCCGAGTCCTAAGGCAGCATTCACGGCTCACGATTATATCGCCATTTTTCACGACTATACTGTATAGGTGAGACACGTATCTATCCGACGTAATCGCCACGACGGACGTGAGACCAGGTCCACACTTTGCTACTGAAGAGATTCGGTGATTTGGGAGACTCGGCGATTCCAGAGATCGCGCGACGAAGGTAAGTATCGATCTGGCGATTGCGGGAAATTGGCCAACCGGAGCTCTAGGCGACTGGCGCTTTAGGCGATTGCGCGCCAAATGAGCGGACGGGTACCGGGTGACGCCGATCGATACTCATGCACGAATCGCCTGAAACCCCGAGTCGCCCATTCTGCCGATTCTCCTCAGTCGCCAGTTCGATACTTTGCTCTTCGCGCAATCTCTCGAATCGCTGAGTCTCTCAGACCGCCGAATCTCCTCAGCTGCAAACTGCTAACGCAGCCTCACGCCGCTCATGGCGATTATGTCGGATCAGTAAGTACCTCATCTACGCAGTATAGTCACTGTAAACGTCGACTACGTCGGTTACGTCGTCGTTTGATTACGGCGACGTAATCGTCAGGTATGAACGCAGCCTCAAGTCTGAACCGAGCTCTCAAAAACTAGCCAACCAAGAGATTCTCACTTCCAAATCACTCAACGCTTAACACTTAAGTGAAAGCCGAACGCAAAAAAACATACAAACCTATACAACCCTTCTTGTGGATATTACCAGGCATAATACCGAGTTTACACTCATCAGATGCAATGATTCCCGGACAATTAGGACCTAACAGCCGCGATTTGCCTGCAAATAAAGCATCATTTCTTCAAATATTGTAGCCAGAAAAAAATACTCGAAGATGGAAATGGACGATTGGTCCTTCACTCACCCTGCTTTAGGAGTCTACTTTTTGCGAGTACCATATCATGTTGTGGAATTCCTTTCGGTGGACGATAGGTATGCGAGCACAAGAAAGTGGAGCCTCAATGAGCACGAGGACAGTGAAAAATCATGGTACAAAGAGTCAAACTCTGCCTAACGGCTCCACTACCTGCTTCACGTCGAACAGGAACAGACACCGCTCAATTACAGTATCCCACTACCGCCAGCCTATAGAAAGAACACCGGAAATGCAGGGCATATTGGAGCAAAGTCATGACTAGCATGTGCAGAAAACGCGTTGTGAAGCCGCAAATCAATGGGATAAATGCGAGGGAAGTCAGGAACCGCTTTCCGAAAAGGTTCGCTCTGCGTCGACAGCTTAAAGCCGTCTGAACGGAGTGATTTGACAATAGGAAGGTTCACAAAGTCGCTAGGTAGTCCGAGTCCTAAGGCAGCATTCACGCCTCACGATTATATCGCCATTTTTCATGTTAAGACACTGTAAAGGTGAAGACATCAACCGACGGTAACGCCACTACGACGAGACCAAGGTCCACACTTTGCTACGAAGAGATCGTGATTGAGAACTTGCGATTCCAGAGATCGCCGACGAAGGTAAGTATCGATCTGGCATTGCGGGAATGGCCAACCGAGCCTAGCGACTGGCGTTTAGCTACTGCGGCGCATCAAACTGACCGACGGGTACCGGATGACGCCGATCGATACTCATCACGAATAGCCTGAAAACCTCGGAGTCTCTTTCATGGTCGTTTTTTTTCGCGATTCTCCTCAGTCGCCAGTTCGATAACTTCTCCTCGCGCAATCTCATCCGAATCGCGAGATTCTCAGACCAGCCGAATCTCCTCAGACTCAAAACTGCAACGTCAGCCTCACTACCCGCTCATGCGATATGTCGATCATAAGTACCGACCTCATCTACGCAGTTAGAGCAACTGTAAACGTCGACTTAGTCGTCGTTGATACGGCGAAGTAATCCTCAGTATATACGCAGCCAGGCGAAACGAGCTCTCTGAAACACAAGCCAACCAAGATCCACATTCCCAAATCACTACAACTCTAAACACTTAAGTGCAAACGCGAACGCAAACATAACAAACCATTAACTAACCTTCTGTGATACTTACCAGGCCATACATACTGAGTTGACATTCTCAGATCAATATCCCGGACAATTAGGACGCTAAAGCCGCGAATGCCTGCAAATAAAGACATCATTCTTCAAAATATTTCGCCAGAAACACAAATACGCGCAGATGGAAATGACTATGTCCTCACTCACCCTGCTTAGGAGCTACTTTTTCGAGTACCATACATGTTGTGGAACCTTCGTGAACAGACGAGAGGCCAACCTGAAAGACGACAATATCAAGTATTCTAAAGAAAACCTAATTGCTCATATTATTGCATTGGTTAGAGGAGGAAATATCATATTTAATAGCAATTGACTAGCTGTATCCGCTGACGACTAAAAACGCCTAAAAATGGAGCGTGCGTTTGGTTACCATGCGCGAGCTGACTGGAGCAAAATTATCAGGTTTCTCAGCCTCAGAGATAGTCTTCTTTTAGTCACAACGTGGATAGGGTAGTACAAAGAAACACTTCCAGTAAGCCGATAAATACATAGCTCAAAAACACAACTAAAAGCACTCCCCCCCCGAAGTCATCCATAATCCGGAACGATCAAAGCTAGAATGGTTTTAGAGGCATCCAAGGCCAAGGAAATCAATGTAGTCGTTTCGCTTGTCACATAAGGGGTCGTGTAGTTTCTGTCCATGCCGTTTGAAAGAACAAGCGACGAAACTCATTCGTGTACCAAAGTCATTTTCCTAAAGCCAATGAGGCGTTTGCAGCATTGATTACAAAGCTAAACCTTCGAGCCGTGCTTACAGCCTTTGAGGCGAAGGCGTCAGGGCAAGTTCAATAAGGGCCCGCCTGACACCAACCCTTGCAAAAAAACTAAAATTGAAAAGTTCATGAAAATACCCGAGTTTCCAACGAAGGAATAAGAGAAATTACCAACGCACACATGAACACGCTCACCAAGAACCCCCCTCATAACCACACAAGTGCATACAGTCCGCCATGGAAACACACAGGAAAGAAAATAATGGAAGCTCGAAAAAGACGCTCTCACCAGAAATAAATAACAAGTGAGAGCTACTACATCATGCAAGGATAATGTGATCGCCGGCCACCAATATCCACATTTAAGGGCATGTGGGTGGGTGTCATTATTCGGGACAAACCTGGTAAGTGGCCTTGGCGGGGGGTCCGTGCGGGTTCAACTTTGAGAAGGTATAACCACAAACAGCGAAATATTTTTCAGGCGCCTGAACGAAGGTGCTACGCACTCGAAATACCGTCAAGTTAAAGATAATTTTAACGAACTTTGAGACTTCCACTGTCTTTGATCTTGAATAACTTTGGAGTTCACATGTTTACACACTCAGAATGGAAATTACTAAGCAAAATGCGTACCTCGGCTTCCATAGCTTCTTCAATTGCTTTTCCAGCTACTTGGTATGGCACATAGATGACTGTAGCATCGCATCCAGTCGCATCTTTCGCTTCAGCAACTGATTTGAACACTGGCAGACCTAGGTGCTCCGTTCCAGCCTTAACAGCAGCACCATTATATAACAGTAGTTTCACACCACCATCATCAATATAATATACAGCCTATCAATTAAACGATAGGCGTGGAAGGGCGGAGTTGTTGAAGCCTAAACCACTCCCACAATATTGTGGAAGCATATGAATAGCATTGATGGAAACGCCCTGGCAGTGTCAATACCCATATCGTCCACAACGTCAATCGTTTGCAGAGAATACGACTGTAAATTCGGCTGCCCCGTGACCGCAGTGCAATTATCCTACAAACAATTAACTAATTCTTACGTCGTACCTTATTTGGATACACTCCTACGACTGTTTCGTACCAACATGTTGTCTACATGAACGTTCCTTTTTTCCTGAAGCCCTGAACAATAAATGCTAGTCCTGGGAAATGTACTCTATGCAAACCAAAAAGAGAAGCCTGTCGCATCCTGGACATCAATGGCCTGATTGTGTGGGGCATAGGTATTTAACATACGGTAGGAAATTCCTACCGCATTTGCATGGAATGGCAGGTACAGTTGACATCTTGAAGTCAGTCGCGGCGGTGTGAGGTGCGGAATGAGCCCACCCAGAGCTTTTCCTACCATTGGTCACTTTCTTTTTGAACCAACCACTATTGACAGAAAGCGCAGCTGGGAACCTCTTCATTTCACGCCGTTGACACGGCCTCGAGTGACTGCGACCATATCAACTACACTACGACATTCTACGTGAATATACTCAACGCGCACTTTCCTGGCTTAGCCTTTCTTGATTCCCGTTCAAGGGCACGTACAAAACGGAAACTAGAATTTTTCAGGCTCCCCTCGCCCTCTACACTAACAATTCAATAAATAAAAATTTTACAGCTATTAGAAAAACTGGTTATAGTTAACTAAACAATTGGAATTGTCAAATAAAATTAAATAATCTTCATTTTTAGCAGTCGACCTTCTGTGCCGTCTGCCAGGTGTCAAAGCATAATTGCGTTCTGTCGACGCCAAATTCCATGAAGAAAAGAAATTCCATGAACGAATTCCATGAAGAAACTATCCTCACCTTGAGTGGGATAGCTTGCAACTGCAAAATTTAAACCAGTTCGCAACTTCAAGCTGTGACGCACAAACGACAAGGTGTGACTCCGCCCAACGCCGGTGACTCCACCCCTCGACTAGTGGCCGCCACATGGTAAAATGTCACTGCGTTTAGATAGGTAACAACTGGAATCCTAACACAAGAAGTGAGCTGATGGGAGAAAACAGCACTGGGGCACTACCGAGTGTGACATCGTCAGGTGAGCGCTCATGCAAATATCATCTTTTCTGCGTCAGACTTGCTAACCACAACTAACAGCGAGTAGCATCGTTTCGCTCATGTGGTGGTGGACTGGCCTCTGAGGACGACGATCCTGTCGAAACGTCAGGTCCATTTTCAAGGAAGTCTTCCACCTACCATCCTCTTTAGCAGAACAAATTCCAACTTAAAAGTTCATCTTCTCTGCCTTTTTCCTAGCTTCTCTCAGAGCCAACAACAAAAAAGAGTGATCTGCTGCATTACATTTTCTTTGCACTCTGACAGATTGAGTAGCACTTACAGCTCCATTATCGAGCAGCAAAACACAAGCGAAGGCTGTTGGAAAGTGGCTGAAAAGTACCTCTAACACAGCTTGCTGTTTGCATGTTTTATTGATGTTCCCGGATAGAAATCTTCGCAAGCCAACGATTCCTCTACAACTTCCTCCGAAAAAAGCACGCAAGATCTTAATCTACAAAACCCGGCTGCTGCGCATAAAGAAGAGAGAAGAGATGGCAGGATGGCTTTTGTCGGGGATTTGAATCGCTTATTTCATCCTCCAGATCTTTGTAGTTTTGTTAGCTGGTTATCGGTGAAATTTTGTCGCGCATTTTTTAAGTTTATTGTTTGTTTTTGGTTCATAGTTGTTTTTTGAAGCCATGCTGCCGTCATTACGAAGAGTGTCAAGACCTTTGGTGCGGACGTTGTACAGTGATACATTGAAGAACCTCATGATTAATAGAGAAACAAAAGTTATTATTCAGGTGTGTTTCCGTTCCTCGAATTCCTTTCATCTTTAGTAATTTTTTCCGGTTTTAGTTAGTTACGTGTTTTTTTTTTGTTTGTTGTCTCCGATCTTCTCGCTCTGCCTTGATACCGTTAATCTTGGAGGATGGGCATTTCGTTGAGCTATGTACGTTTAGTCAGTGGTAGGAAAAAGGTTGACGCCACGCTAAAACTTACACTACGCTGACACGCCTCGACCGACTTCGGTGATAGCAACTGTGAAGTACTGGACCACGTACCTGAATTACATCAGCGCAAAGGCTAAATTTGGTGCATTATTGAATACTGAAACTCATTTGTATTAACTACGACTTTGTTGGAAGGCGCGTTGACTGCTCAATTCTTCTCCGGAATATTATATCCCGAGAGAAGGCAGCGTTCAGACTTCGCGACGGCCGCGCGTTCGGCGCGATCGATGCGCATGCTTTCTACTGCATCGATCGAGTCGAACGCGCGATCCAAGCGCCCATCGCGAAGTGTGAACGCTGCCGAATGCTCTTCATGATTGCGCGCTAGATAGTGTAACGTCATAGACCATGAAACCAAGAGAACAAGGACTTCAGCGTCTTTTGTGCTACTACACGTGGGAGCATCTTTGACCTACTAATTGAAAGCAAAGCTCGCACTGGTCTTGACGGCACCTAGTGGATTATAGCTGCCAGTTCATCTGTCCACAACGCATTCGGCTTGTTTTTAAGAATTGAGTAGTTCGAGTTAATGGCATTGACTCAGTTTCGAAGGAAGACTCAACGGATGAAGCGGTTATTAAGAAGCAAAAATAAGCACACATATCCGACTACTACTTTGGCCGTGTTAGAAAATGCCATGCGAGATTGACCAGGGAAGTCCGCCAAATTACCATGGACTTTTGAATGGAGACCTGGGTAGATCGATAGTCTCTGAAGGTTATTTACAATAGGTAGCAAAACTGCAACCTGCATTTCACAAGCAACTTATGAGCAGGTAAAGTTTGTAATGGTGCAGTAGGGTGGAGGCTTGGTGGTGAGCTGTGAAGCATAAGCGAGGAATCGCATACGTCGAATCGAGTCGTGGTGGTTCAGTGGTAAGGTTTGACGACTCGAGACATTGCGATTCCTCGCTTATGCTTCACAGCTCACCACCAGGCCTCCACTCAAATTTTACCTGCTCATAAATTGCTTGTGAAATACAGGTTGCATTTTTGCTATCTATATTTGTGAGTAACCTTTAGACTCCACCGATCTACCCATTTCTCCATTCAAAGGACTTCCCTGGTTAGCAGCTGCTACCACTTGCTCCCAGCGTTTGAGCCTCTGTCGAAGCTTCCACTGGGAAGTTAGTATTGGTTTTGCCGGCTCCAACTGAAATCTCTTCTTCATATCCGCACGCAGAAACGGCGCTCCAAGGTAAATGCTTCTATTTATCCGTACGGGAGGAAGTTGTAGAGGAATCGTTGGCTTGCGAAGATTTCTATCCGGGAACATCAATAAAACATGCAAACAGCAAGCTGTGTTAGAGGTACTTTTCAGCCACTTTCCAACAGCCTTCGCTTGTGTTTTGCTGCTCGATAATGGAGCTGTAAGTGCTACTCAATCTGTCAGAGTGCAAAGAAAATGTAATGCAGCAGATCACTCTTTTTTGTTGTTGGCTCTGAGAGAAGCTAGGAAAAAGGCAGAGAAGATGAACTTTTAAGTTGGAATTTGTTCTGCTAAAGAGGTGGTAGGTGGAAGACTTTATTGAAAATGGCCTGACGTTTCGACAGGATCGTCGTCCTCAGAGGCCAGTCCACCACCACATGAGCGAAACGATGCTACTCGCTGTTAGTTGTGGTTAGCAAGTCTGACGCAGAAAAGATGATATTTGCATGAGCGCTCACCTGACGATGTCACACTCGGTAGTGCCCCAGTGCTGTTTTCTCCCATCAGCTCACTTCTTGTGTTAGGATTCCAGTTGTTACCTATCTAAACGCAGTGACATTTTACCATGTGGCGGCCACTAGTCGAGGGGTGGAGTCACCGGCGTTGGGCGGAGTCACACCTTGTCGTTTGTGCGTCACAGCTTGAAGTTGCGAACTGGTTTAAATTTTGCAGTTGCAAGCTATCCCACTCAAGGTGAGGATAGTTTCTTCATGGAATTCGTTCATGGAATTTCTTTTCTTCATGGAATTTGGCGTCGACAGAACGCAATTATGCTTTGACACCTGGCAGACGGCACAGAAGGTCGACTGCTAAAAATGAAGATTATTTAATTTTATTTGACAATTCCAATTGTTTAGTTAACTATAACCAGTTTTTCTAATAGCTGTAAAATTTTTATTTATTGAATTGTTAGTGTAGAGGGCGAGGGGAGCCTGAAAAATTCTAGTTTCCGTTTTGTACGTGCCCTTGAACGGGAATCAAGAAAGGCTAAGCCAGGAAAGTGCGCGTTGAGTATATTCACGTAGAATGTCGTAGTGTAGTTGATATGGTCGCAGTCACTCGAGGCCGTGTCAACGATGAAATGAAGAGTTTCCCATGCTCGCGCTATTCTGCAATAGTGGCTTTGGTCTTAAAAAAGAAACGTGACCGGTAGGAAAAGCTCTGGGTGGGCTCATTCCGCACCTCACACCGCCGCGACTGACTTCAAGATGTCAACTGTACCTGCCATTCCATGCAAATGCGGTAGGAATTTCCTACCGTATGTTAAATACCTATGCCCCACACAATCAGGCCATTGATGTCCAGGATGCGACAGGCTTCTCTTTTTGGTTTGCATAGAGTACATTTCCCAGGACTAGCATTTATTGTTCAGGGCTTCACAGGAAAACAAGGAACGTTCCATGGACAACAAATGATTGAGTACGGAACCAAAGTCGTAGGAGGTGTATCACCAAATAAGGTACGACGTAAGGATTAGTTAACGACGTTGTTTGTAGGATAATTGCATTGCGGTCACGGGGCAGCCGAATTTACAGTCGTATTCTCTGCAAACGATTGGACGTGTGGCCGAGCATGGGTTTGAACACTGCCAAGGCCGTCTTCCATCAATGATGCTATTCATATGTCCACAACAATTAGTGGGAAAGTGGTTCTAGCTGCGATCCAACCAACTCACGCCCCCCTTCCACGCCCTATCGTTTGCATTGATCACGGCTGTATATGTGATACTGATGATGGTGGTTAAAACTACTGTTATATAAAGGACTGCTGTGTTAAGGCTGGAACGGAGCACCTAGGTCTGCCAGTGTTCAAATCAGTTGCTGAAGCGAAAGATGCGACTGGATGCGATGCTACAGTCATCTATGTGCCATACCAAGTAGCTGGAAAAGCAATTGAAGAAGCTATGGAAGCCGAGGTACGCATTTTGCTTAGTAATTTCCATCTTATTCCTTCGTGAAACCTCGGTATTTCAGAGAACTTTGCAATTTTAGTTTCATTTTGCCAAAGGGGGTGTCAGGCGGGCCCCCTTATTGAAACTGGCCTGACGTTCGACTAGGCCTTCGCCCTCAAAGGCGTAAGCATGGCTCAAGGTTTAGCTGTTGTAATCCATATGCTGCCAAACGCCTCAATTGGTAGGAAATGACTGGTACAAACGACATGAAGTC